CGTTTTTGAGTGGGGGTGGGGGGGTTTTTTTTTTTTTTTTTTTGGGGGGGGGGCCGGCCAACGGGAGCAGGTTCAACCCCTCTATCTTTTTTTTTTTTAGATGGGGGGGGGGGGGGGGGGGGGGGCCTGGATTGCCCCGCCCGTGGATCGCCCTGCAGATTGGCCCTGATCACTGGCCAGGCCTAGGGACCCTACCCTATATATTGGGAACAGTCTCTTAGATTTAAAAATTAAAACCTGGCAAGGCTACTCTAACACTGAAAAAACAGGATGATGCAGCGGTGACATGCATGGACTCTGGCTTGCACATTTTGTGGTCAGCCCTGATTCTGACACTTATAACTGTGTGACAAAGTCAATTACTTAACTTCTCTCTGCTTCAGTTTTTCCACCCATAAGATTGGGGAAAATGGTACTACTGCCTCAGAAGGATCATGTTATGTACTACTTTTTATAATCAGGGCAAAAAAATGTAGCTGCACATAGAACAGCAAGATGCCTTTCACCTGTATGAAAAGCATGGTCACTGATGCATGCAGCCAAGGATGCCGGCCGGCTAAGGGATTCCTCCCCTCAACCCCATGCACAAATTTTGTGCACTGGGCCTCTAGTTCAACTATAAAAGGAATAAGGTACTGATACATGCTACAATATGGATGAACCTCAAAAACATTATTCCCCATGAAAGAAGCCCTAAAGGCCACATATTGAGGGATTCCATGTATATGAAACATCCTGAAAAGGCAGATGCATAGAGACAGAAAACAGATTCGTGGGTGCCAGGGGCTGTGTGAAGTGACTGCCAGGGAGTGGGTGCATAATTCCTTTTAGGGTGATGAAAATGTCCTGGGACCAAGCAGTGGTGATGATTGCACAACATTGTGAATGTACTAAATGACACTGAATTATATGCTTTAAATGGTTAGAATGGTAAATTTTACGCTATGTGTATTTTACCACCATTAAAAAACCCCCCAATGAATTAGAAAATAATAAATGATAGTTGTACTTCTCAGTTACTTTTTGAACAAAACAAATACCCATAACTCTGACAAGCTTAATAAAAAAAGGGTGTAACACAAATGTACCACATAAAAATTAGAATTATGATATGCCTGTTTTTAAAAAGACACATAATATTGAAAACCTTTACCTTCTCATAAGAAGAAAAAAGGAAAGAGTGGAATGTGTCTACTACAGCCCAGCCTGACTGCAGTTCGATGAGAAATGTCTGTGGGCCACGGGTGCTGGCCATGCCCCAGGGGGCAGGGCGTGCCCCGCGTGCAAGAGCCGGTAGCTGTGTCTGAGGAATCTGCTCCTGCCTCTTTCTTTAGGACATAAAAGCAAATGACACATTAACACTGGCTCCTGGAGACATACACAAACACTTCTTGCAGGCTGGCTCCTGCACAGCTGCTCTCCTTCCGAGCCCGCATCGCCCGCGTAGCTGCCTCAGCATTCATTTGGACAGGAGTGTAGAAAGTGTTTCATTCCACCATCTTGCCTTTGCAAAAGTTGGGGTGGTTCCACAATAAATGGACTCAAGAATACAAAGCCCAACTAGTAGAAAAGTGGGTGGTTGGAGAAGTCCCAAACAGTCTTAAGGCATTGATGTCGCACGAAGTGGCTTTGCTCACTGGACCTGCTTCCAGGCCAGGTACTGCCTCCCTGCCCTGGTCAGATGCTCTTCTTACCACCTCCTCACATAGCTGCTCCTACTCTTCTCCCACCAAACCACCTCTCCTGCCTTCATATTTAAATTCTACCCTAGTTGGTTTGGCTCAGTCGGCCTGCATACTGAAGGGTCCCAGGTTTGATTCCCATCAAGGGCGTATACCTGGGCGTGCAGGAGGTAGCCAATCAGTGATTCTCTCATCATTGATGTTTCTCTCTCTCTCCCTCTCTCTAATAAATAACAATATATTTTTTTAAAATCCTGCTTTTCCTTCGAGGTCCGACTCAAGCCCTTTAACTTAGGATTTACATATCCCCTCCCTCCCTTTTCTCCCCATTTTGTTTTGTGCCTGGGAAGTCCATCTCCCCCAGTTAGATAGCAAGTTCTCTCTGATGACCAGAACCTCTCCTTGTAATTCGAGGGTTCCCCACAGTCGTGAGCAGCTTTGCTGTCTTCCATGCACTTTCCCCTCTATTCTCCCAGCTCCTTGGTTTTCCTTTGCTGGGCTAATCTGTCTGTAATAGGCTCAGGCAGATGTGAATTAAAGCAGATTCAGGAGACTCATCAGTCTTGGGGCTTCGGCAGGAGCTACTGGTAAGAGACCCCCTTTCTCTAGGAGTTGCTAACTGATAGGAGCCACTGGGGATGCTCACTGCACACTCCTGGGATGCTTGTCTGAGAATAAAGCCACACAGGAAAGCAGAGCCTGATGGCTTTCTTCAAGGCTCTGGATTGTAACTGCCCTTGACCCCAAAGCCTTTTCAGTCATGAGTATTGACAACCCTCCTGGCTGCTAGCGGATGCTTCCAGCTGAAAGGATGTTATTGTACCTCCCAGTATTTACCCTGGCACAAGGTAGGCACACAAAAAAATTGTCAACATGTTGATTGTTTTCAGTTCCATCTAGAGTGGTTAAGTGAAATATTTATTTTTTTGGATTAAAACATTGTCATTGTGGTAAAATACGTTTACCATTTAATCATATGGTCGTGCAACCATCACCACTATCCATTTCCAGAAATTTTCATCATCCTAAACAGAAATCTATACCCATTAAACACCAACTTCCATTCTTCCCTCTTCCCACCTCATGGTCACCATAATTTCGCTTTTTTAAAATCTATGAATTTGACTATTCTAGGTTTCACACCACAGGCCAAAAGTAGGCTTACAGTTGAGGAAGCAAAACATTTATTGTATTATTTATGAATTATTGTATTATTTTTCATATGACTAACTGTAAACCTATTTTTGCCTCACCCTGTATAAGTGGAATCTTACAATATTTGCTATTTTTGTGAATGGCCTATTTTACATAGCATAATGTTCTCAAGGTTCACCCATGTTGTAGTATGAGTTAGACTCTCCTTCCTTTCTGAGGCTGAATAATATTCCACTGTATGTGTAGACCACATTTTATTTATCCATTCATCCATCAATGGACACGGGGGTTGATTCCACTATGTTGTAAACAATGCTTCTATGAACATGGGTGTACAAATATGTGTTCAAGTCCTAGCTTTTAATTCCTCTGGGCCTATAGCCCAGAAGTGGAATTGCTGGATCATATGAAAATACTGTTTAACTTTTTAAGAAACCATCCCACTGTTTTCCAGAGCAGCTGCACCATTCTACATCCCCACCAACAGTGCACCAAGGTTCCACGGAGTCTACATCCGTATCAGTAGTGCTTTCCATTTTTTTGAAAATATTTAATGATGGAACTGTGCTAATGCTAAGAATAGAACTTATTCTAGGAGCCTGTGTGGATAAGAAGAGAATTGTTGCATTCATGAAACATTAAAGCCAGAAGATCTAGCCTAAAATAGTCCTTCGTGTGTTCTGGGCAGCATGTCGCTTTTATAGACTTCTACTCTCTCAAATCCATCTCAGCACCAGGTTGGAAACGTCTGTTCAGGAGTCACTGGCCACTCCTGCTTTCCCAGTGAGGGGAGAGGGACAGAGGCTGGCACATTCTGACTTGTGGGTAGCCAGTGTCCTCACCACCCCCCAACCCCACACCCACCCCTTTTGGCTTTTTCAACAAGAATGAAGTTGCCTTTTTATCTACTTCAGGAGGCTCTTACAATTCGGTGAAACTACACCACCACGCACTCAGCGTATTCCAATAGACGCCTCGTTAGCAGCGGTTGCCTTTTCCCATGAGCTCCCCTGTCCCTCGATCCCGTTTATGGCATCTCTCCTCTTGAGCCCTGAGGAGAGACGGAGGGTGTGTGAGACACCAGGTCTGCAACAGGCTGCCATCATGTCAAGGCTTTATTTCTACTTCATCATTGTCTCGTACAGACTCCGAGCCACCATCCTTTGTTCCAATCCGATATTCTCATGTGTAATATTTTTTCCGTAAACAGAAAATTTTGAGTAAACACTGCGTATTGTCAGTTCATCTTTTAACAATAATTTAAAAAAGCCACGGATGTTGTATCATCGATGCAAGAAGACGACAAAAGTACAGTACGAGGGAACTCACAATGTGCACAACGGGACGACTCACTCGGGCGATGGCGAGCCCACAGCAGCAGTATGTACATGCACCCCGGCGCCTCGAACCCGAAGACGTGCAAGTCGATAGAATATGTGGATTATACAAAGAATTTGGTGAGCCCCGCTGAGGACTCGGTGCCCTTTTCCTAAACGCTGACATGGGTTCCCTCCAGCATACAGGGCATCTGTCTTGACTATTGGCTTCCTGACTTTTTCACTACAAAAAGTTCATTTTACCAGACGGTCTGAAGTTTTCAAAAATTCTTAAAAATCAAAAACACTGAGAAAAGAAAATTAACTTAAGACACTCTAATTCAACGTGGAAATAAAGCAAACCAAAATGTAACAGTGCAAATTTAACAGAGAGGCAGTCAGTCTTAGAGCGAGGGTGTTCAGGATCTCGTAAAATGTACATCTTTAAAACGTTTAGTTTTTAAAATTTATTTATATCTTATGTACCCTTTTTTAATATACTGTGTGTAAAAAAGATGGAGACAAAAATAGTTTTCTGAGCTATGAAAAAAATTAAGTTATTACAGGCACATTTACTGTTTCGTTCTAGAAACATCTCAGGTCAGAGGTTGAACATTCAGCAGCTGTGTGTTTTTTTAAACACGTTCTTTGACCTTGGGAAAACGAGATCTCTCCTTTTGGGCAGAGTTTGGTGGATGATGATGGTGTGGTTATGCAAATTACAGTGAATTATTCTGTGATAATCCATGCAAACTTGCATCCGTCACTGGTGCAGCTTCTCCCCGGGCGGCTCCTCCTCCCCGAACTCCTCCAAGGAGGTCGGGTCTCCGAGCGATGGAGCCGTAGAGGCAGTGGGGGAATGTGGGGCCCAGCGGGATGGAGGGCGGCGGTTTGCTGGTCTCTCGGGCCTGGAGAAGCAGGATTCTAGGGATGGAGCTAGAGCAGAACAAGGTAGTTCCTTCAAAGCCAGAAAGAGAAAGACAGGGTTACTCAGACAGACAGTGCCTCTGGCGGTGGGAGGGATTTCCCCCAAATACACTTCTTGACAGACTCAATGCAACAGAGCGAGGGCAACTTCTGCATGCTAACTTATATTTTGCTCATGGAGAATGACTTAAAATGGTAAGGAAAGACCTCAACAGGAATGATCAGTGATGACAGTAATGGGAAGACATCGAGTGAGGATAAAACATGGCAAAGCCTTGAGATGGGTGTGTTTACAGAGCACCATCAGAGCTGGTCTGGCACCTATGGAGGCGGGAAAGCCACAGGCCACATGTGGTCTACCCCAGCCACGTGGTCGGTCTGATCCAGCTGATCCCATCACTCTGGTCCTCCTGAGTGATCTACTTAGTGACAATGACGGTCCTAAGAGGACAGCCTCTCTTGATTTCATCAGCTGTATTAGGAATGAGACTCACCTCAAAACAAGCTCTGCTACTGTTTATCCCAAATTGACTGGCAGTCGGTGAAACACACTCCCACAACATGAAAAAATGCTGCCGGCAGAAATTTTAATTCCTGTCTAGTTTTCTTTAATGACTCCTCCTCACAGCAGCATTGGAAGAAAGGGGAGTCAGAGTGTGCTTGTGTTCTTGTGTTGCGGGCATCCCACACCTTCTGAGAACAGTTAATGCCAGACACCCTCCACCATGGTGCACATCACCTGGAATACTTCTTCTCAGGGCTTGGTCTCCACGACAGGAAACAAGGACACCACACTGGGAATTTACTGGCACAGAGACATGTGCAAAGCTGTGGCAGGAGGATACGGGGAGTTCTACAGGGTGGGACCCATCTGCCCAAATGACCCTCAGACAACAGAAAGCTGAGATGGTAAACCACTGCAATGCCGATGACACAGAGCAAAGACCCTCCGAGCCAGCCAGGAGGTAAGTCAGAGGATTTAAAGAGAGGTGACAAGCAACTGCAGAGGTCAGAATGAGGAAGAGGTAGTCAGCAGCGCAGGCGAGTGACACAGGGAAGAGTCAGCGGCTGTGTTGAAGGACGATGTGACGAAAACCAGGTGACAAGGAAGAAGATGGAAGGCGGACAGGGGAGCGATGGAGTGAGGAGGCTGCCTCCCCGTGGGGCCCGCCGAGAAGGAGCACTAACATGGAGACTGCTTCTTGCCGGTCCCTGCCTCTTCTGTGGTTGGCACTTTCTATGACAATGGGGAGGCCCCAGTCAGCAAAGCACGTATGCTAATGAGAACCATGACAACCTGAGGTGCCTGCCTGTGAAAACACCGTGGGCCCGGAGATAGCTGGAATGCGAACTTACATGGGGGTGAGCTGTGTCCTTACCTCGCCTCAGCCCAGGACATGAGGGGGCGCATGGTTCGGGAAATCTGCTACTGTCTTGTGTCTTCTGGTGTCACTGCTCCTGGTGTTGTAAGGGTTGTGTGTGCTTGTGCTAGTATGAGTGTGTTGTGTGCAAGTGTGTGTGCTGGTGGGGCTGCTGCTAGAGGGTTATTGGACACACTGCAGCCAGTTCCCACCTGGCCGATGCGGGACGAGTATGCGCTTCCCATTCGTATTGTGCCACCTCTTCACCAGCACCTGTTTGGGGGCTCCCACAGGAAGCAATGGCGTGTGGCCATCCCAGCACACATAAGCACAGCACGCTGTCCTTTCCCGACAGGCCTTGCCGTGGGCTCTGTGGGCCTCTGGCGCTTGGAGCACTTTAGTCTTGGAGAAACAACTGTACTTTGGCCCTGAGCGCTTCAGCCTGAGGTCAGTGAATGAGCTAATTATGTCCTTGATGACACACAAGGCTCCTGTTTTCTGATGTGCCTCGACTTGGGCTCTGGAGTCAATTCTGAGAATACTTTTTGGAGCAGGGGTGACTTTGCTGTTTATTCAATCAACAAATACTTATTGAGCACTTACTAGGTCACCTACAGTGATCACCTGGAAGGACAAGATGTATTTGCTTTTATTCCTTCTGGTGCGGTTGTTGCAAAAGAAGCCTCATTGCATTATGGTCGCACCTGATATAGCTTATGGCATTAACTTGTGCCACCAAATACCGGTAGCAGGTCCAGCGGATCCCCACAGGCTAGAACTCTGTCAGAGACAGTCCCCTCTCCGAAAGCATACTGGCTGCAAACTGCACAGGGAGCAGAAACCTAGGCGGGGTCTCTATAACCGGGGAGCCTTTCTTTGCACCAAGCAGTCAACCCTCGGCAAAAGGGATTGTACAGGCCATCAGTCTGTCCCTGCAGACGGACCCAGAGCCAGTGGGGCGGCTGCCTCTATGAAGCAGATCTACCTGGGATGATTCCCCCTGTTTCTGAGTGTCCGGCGCCAACCCCGAGTTACACCAATGCCCCCTCCAGACAGTTTGGGAAGAAGGACGAAAGCACTTACGGCGTGAGGCAGGCAGGGCTAGAGTCCCCAGGGGGCAGTTAGTAAGACAGTTTGGTTCTGGACAGAACAGACAGAGAAAGAAAAGAAAAGCAAGTAGGTTGAAAAGTATTTTTTTAAAAAAGAAGAACAGTAAAGGTTTTACATCAACAAGCCAGGTGCCAGCTCCAGGGACAGCTACCAGGAGAAGCAGGAAGTCCCCAAAAGTGGCATGGCATTCCTGGGCACACAGACCTCTCCTCGGCCCTGTCTGAAGGGAGGAACGGACTCCCTGTGGAACAGCCACAGGCCTCTCCCTCCTGATTTCTAGTCTTCCCTGAGTTGCCCTTTGGCTTAACACTTCAACCATCCTTTGGCACAGAGAGATGGAAGTCGCATGACTCTTGTATTTGAAAGGAGGCATAGAACAGCCAGTTTGTCACAATGATGCAGCCACCGCTGCTCACACTAAAACTCTCCTCCCATTTTACACTTAGGTATGGGAGAGAAGAATAGAATAATCTGCATTTCCAGATTATTTCCATTCTCTTCACGCCAGAACTCCTCCTCACAGCTTCTCTGCATCGCGGCATGGGTGTTAGGGCTTCAAGAGAAAAGAGTAAGCAGGGTGTGGGTGAGAGTGGGAGGTCCTGCTGTGCGGGTCCCAGCCAGGACCCCTGCGTCCCCGTCTCGCTGTGACCACCCAGGGAGAGCCCCGGCAGGCCATGCACAGCAGGATGGCAACTCAGAATCACTGGAGATTTTGAAATGAAAACCCAGAACCACCACAAAATTTATGGAGTGACAAGAAGGGCTCTCCATTGGGTCTAATATATAGTAGTCAATTCAGACGAGAAGTCATTCCACTGGAATCTAGAACAAGTAAAATTGCAACAACAGAAAAAGAGTCCAGGACACTGAAACGGTGCCAGCGAGTGCTCCAGTCAGGCTCTGACCCCGCAACTCTGCTGTACTCCCATCAAACGGCCGGTCACCTCTGAGGCGGTGAGCACACCTAGTGAGAAGGAAGTCTTGACAGAGAGACAAAGGGCTGGGCATAGCTTTGTACCAGCAAAACCATTTTCACACCTGAGAACTGTGATTCAGTCATTAAACCATTCTTCATATTATCATAGATTGCTTTTTAACTCAAAGAATTTTTTTGGTTCCTAAAAATTAATTTCTATTTAGTTTCAAATATAAATGGACATTCCAGACACAGCCAGTTAATGCTTTGGGACAAAGCCCCGATTTCAGCTGATGCCTCCCGGGCCCTGAGGAGGCAGGCATTCACACAAACCCTCCGCAGCAGTGTGCCACTTACCTGAGGGCCCCGAAGAATGGGGTGACACCATCTGAGCACACTCAGCCACGGTATGTGTTCTTCTCAGAGCCTGCACACCACCGTATCACAAAGACTTGCATCTTCGGAACATGTGGGCCATGAACCGTCAAGGTCAGGCTGAACCATATGGCATTGCCACTTCAGTAGGTCACTGGCATGGTTTAACCCATTTGAGATTTAAACTCTATATTCTGAGTTAAATACCACTTGATGGATGAGACTGGGAAACTGACCATCATTGTTTCCCTGTGAAATGTGGGGCAGAACGTAGAAATACACGTTTCTTCTTACTCATGCGGCCTGGGCCATGGTGGGTGGGAAAGAAGCAGGTGGCTCAAGGAGCGAGTTTCTCTTCTTCCTGCCGACCCTCGCCATCCACTGGTCTGCCCGGCCTGGAGAATGCCTGTGGGTGTCTGGATCCCAGTGGGGTGGAGTGTGTCCATGTGGGCTACTGGTGGGTCAGGGCTCACACTCAAGTCTACACATGGATCACTCCCGAACAGTGACTGACCGAGTGTTGTGAGCATTGGGAGGCAGGCATCACCACTTCTGTCACCCCCAGCGTTGTCATTGGGCTTGGTTTTATTTTGCTCATTCTGGAAGTGGGAATGGGGATTGCTTTTTAAGGTGGTGTGGGACGAGTATACCACGTGTGGATAGGCATCAGAACAGAATTCAAGGTTGACTGATTTGAGGATATTGTTAACAGGGACATAATAATAATTACATGACAATGTGATAGTATGTGTATTCATCCTATATAATAAAGAGGTAACATGCAAATTGACCGTCACGTCCTTGCAAAGATGGCTGCCCCCATGTGGTCAAAGATGGCCTGCAGAGGAGGTCAGTTAGGGTCAACAGGGCCGGCAGGGGAGGGCAGTTGGGGGGGACCAGGTTGGCAGGGGAGGGCAGTTAGGGGTGACCAGGCTGGCAGGGGAGGGCAGTTGGGGGGTGACCGGGCTGGCAGGAGAGGGCAGTTGGGGGCAATCGGGCTAGTAGGGGAGCAGTTAGGCGTCGATCTGGCTGGCAGGGGAGTGGTTAGGGGGTCATCAGGCTGGCAAGGGAGTGGTTAGGGGGTGATCAGGTTGGCAGGCAGAATCAGTTAGGGGCAATCAGGCAGGCAGGCAGGCAAACGGTTGGGAGCCAGCAGTCCTGGATTGTGAGAGGGATGTCTGACTGCCGGTTTAGGCCCAACATCCCCCAAGGGGTCCCAGATTGGAGAGGGCGCAGGCTGGGCTAAGGGACACTCTCCCCAATCCCCCTGTGCATGAATTTCATGCACCGGGCCTCTAGTATAATGATAATGTGATAATAGGTGATGTGTCAGAGGATAATCGCACTGCATGAAGGTAGGGTTTTGACTGTGTGTGTTGCCTCGCCTGGGTTATTACTGGGGGGCTTCATGGACACAGAGAGTAATGTGTGAGATGGAAGGCTACAGCTTTGCACTGAAGCCCACACTTGAGTCCAGCTGCTGTAGCTCCTTGTGAGAAGTTCTAGAATCCACACTCTCAAACCTTCCCCGGCACACCTTTCATGCTGTCACATAGAAAGACCTGGAGCATGCAGAAAGCCCTGGCACGACTCCCATACTTTACACACAGACATTCCTAGGACACAAATTTACCCCCAAAGATGGCACATTATGACCCCAAGTGAAACGCCCAGATAAACAAATGAGCAGCCATCACTTAGACCAGAGAAGAGAACCTGAATCACTTTTAAAAAGTAGCTCGGAGTTCGTGTTTCTGCCTATTCCATTCTCCCATAAACCAGGTATCCCCCCAGCTCACAAGAACCTATTATGGGCCAGGATTCTTAAAATCAAATGACCTAATACAATCCCAGATTCAAACTTGTTTTCCCACCATTTGAGTGGAAGAGCTGGTAGGGTGAGGGTGTGGACTACTGAGCTTTCATTACCTCGATGGACCCTGGTTCTGCTTTGGCTGTCTCTCCCACGAGGCTGTCACTGTTAAGACTTGGGAGGCCTTGGGGCGCCTGCCTCCTCTCCTCCTTTAAGGCGTGCTCCAGTAGCTTCTTATGGAGGATCCGGGCTACACTCTCGGTGAACGTGTAGCCAGGGGGAGCGGATAAGTCCTGCCTCACAGGCGTGCCCTCTCCCCCTTCCTCCCTACAGGTCTCTGAGCCAACCCCGATGGGGCTGGGTGACCGTCCCCGGGAACTGGGGCTGGTGTCCTGGCCTGGGCCCAGCTCCGGCTGCGGTTCTGCTGAGCGAGACCGACCCCCAGCCCGCATCCCCTTCTGGAAGGGGTCCTGCACCACGGGGCTGTGGTCAATGATGTTGAAGAGACTGGAGAGGCCGTCGTTGATGGCGGTGTGCACGGGGCTCTCCCGTGTGGTGGTGGAGCGGGCCCAGGCCGACTCACTGCACCCCTTCTGGGCCAGCCCTGGCGAGGTCCTGTTATTTGGCTGGTCAGCTTTGGGGAGGGGCTTCCTCTGCAGCTTGGGAGACCCATACTTGGGGGAGCAGCATGTCCGTTCGAACTTGGCCTGCACCTTCTCGATGGCGGGGGCCACCTGCCTGCTCCTAAGGCCACGGGATGGAGACGATGCGGGCGTGGCACCCCCCCCTGCCTTTGGTGTGAGACACTTGTGGGGGCTGCTGGTGACGGCGCTGCCGCGCAGGGCTTCGGTCTGCAGGCCGACGCTGATGGTCTGCACAGTCTGCGTCCCAGTGGTCTGGGACCCATTGGTCTGGCAGGCCATGTCCTTGACCAGGGGCTCGGGGGAACTAGAGCAGATGGCATTCCTGACAGAGAAGGCCACCTCCTTCATGTCGTCACTCATGTTCTTGGATATCCCCAGGCTGTGCAGCGGGGAGGCGAAGCCCAGGGAGGGGCAGAGGGTGCCATCCAGGGGGCGCAGGCCTCCCTCCCCATAGTCTCGGGGTTGCCTGGGAGGGGCACAAGGCCACCTGCTAAGCATGTGTTCTGAGGGGCCCCCCTTAGTGTCTCCTGGGCCCCCTCGGGCTCTGCTTGTAGCAAACGGGCCCTCGGGCTCCGGGTGGCCCGAGCTCTCACCGCCGGCCACCACGATGCTGTCCATCCTGCGGACGGCAGGTGGGCTGTGCAGCACCCGCACCCCGGACGGCTCGGTGCGGACGTGGCTCCGCAGGGGCTGCTTCTGGCAGTGCTCGGGGCTGGTCATGGTGTCTGTGGTCATGGTGACGCTCGTGGTGAGGTACCAGGATGAGTCAGGGAAAGGCTCCACACTGGCCTCGCCCCCAGCCCGCCCCGCCTCGGTCCTGCCTGCCCAGGGGTCTGGAGGCCTCTCGTCCCAGCTCTTGCTGTTGAACTCCTCGATGTACTTCAGATCATCAGGGGACAGGGGGGGAGTGATGTCCTCTTTGCTACTGGCCGCGGGCAGGCCTTTCTCCGGCAGGAAGGGAGAGACGTCCATCAGGCGCTGGAACTCAGACATGGAGGACACGGACACCGCCCTGGGAGAAGGAGTGGGAGAGGAGACATTGTCAACTGCCCGCCAGCCCGGGTGCCTGCCAACCTGCACGGCACATGCCTGTGTCGTGCCAGTCGCTACCATAACTATGAGAAGGCTTTCCAGCCGCTTGATGCTCTCCACCCCTGAGCTGACCCTGTGGATGTTCAATGGGCTTTTTATGGCTCTGGAATTGTTCCAGGACCTGTGTCTGGGTCAGAATGCAACACAGCCAACCCTCAAACACTGGGAACGAGTGGAAGGTGGGGCTCTCAGGCAGGCATAGCTAAGCTCCAAGCCACCTTGGATGCTTCACTTCAGCCGACGGTGCCCCACAGGAGGAAGGGACACCTGGCGGTGGCCTGGCGTCTCCGTCTCCATCTACTGACCAGAGCCTTCCGTCCCCACTGTACTGGGAGCTTCCCGAGTGCCGAGCATTATGGCAGGTGCTCATGCTACAGACACGGACCGCCATAGTCCCGATCCAGAACCAGCTAATGGTATGGGGTGGGGGTGGGGGAGCTACCACAACAAAACAATTATCATCTGAAGTCTTTTTCACCCATTGGCCTCATCCTCTATTGACTTGAAGTACTAACCATCTCCAAAGGCCAAGTGGAAGATGCAGAAGACAGGAAAGTAGAAGATGGAACTAGGCCAGTGATGGCGAACCTATGACACGCGTGTCAGAGGTGACACTGGAACTCATTTTTTTGGTTGATTTTTCTTTGTTAAATGGCATTTAAATATATAAAATAAATATCAAAAATATAAGTCTTTGTTTTACTATGGTTGCAAATATCAAAAAATTTCTGTATGTGACACGGCACCAGAGTTAAGTTAGGGTTTTTCAAAATGCTGACACGCCGAGCTCATAGGGTTCACCATCACTGCACTAGGCCAACAAATAAATTTCAAAATACTTTTTCAAACGAAATTTCCACCTGGCCCTGCCCAAATCCACCAACGGGGCTCGGCTCTCCTCTCCCCGCTCTGCTCCCTGCTTTACAGTCAGGCCTTCTCTTTGTTCCTGCTCCTCCTGTACTTCTGGACATGAGGAAGACACTCCACATGCACACAATGGAAGGTGAAGACAGGTGAGCTAAAGCAGCAGCCAGTTTGGGGTAAGTTCCTGCCCGACAGATGTGGTTTTAGTTGTAGATTCCTCAATATATTAGCACTTTAATTCAATATATTTCTACTTGACAGGAATTTACTGACTTCCCCCTGTAGGCTGGTTGCTGGAGATCTGACATGCTAGGTCGGGGGATGCTGGAGCATTCAGGCAGCTTGTCAGCTCTCCCAGGGCAAAGAAGTAGTGGCCAGGAAGGAAGCCTGGGGCTGGCCATGCCTGTCGGTGCAGGCCCTGGACCCTCGGGCCTGGGATCCCTCTGGATGGGTGACAGGGAGGTGAGGTGTATGCACACTCATGGTCTCTGCAACTAGACCACTTCCCCATAGGACACCAATACCCACCTACCTCCAAACTGAGGCTTGAATACATAAGTGACTTTCTATGCCCAGCCCAGGCCCTGCCGAGGGGTCTCCCATGAAGTCCATGGGCCTCTCCACTCTAGGATTGATTAATGATGGTGAGGCCAGAATTGGGGTCTGTGTACCACCTGGACTGGCCCACAGAGCCAGCAAAGCTCCCGGTGGCTCTGCCCTCACCCCGGGGTACATGCTCTTGTGGTGGTCACCGTGGGGTAAGGGTCTAGGCGACAAATGCCACCGTTAGGCTTTCCATCTTATTATTCCTCACTGAAGGCAAAGTCAGTGATATTTCTATATTAGAAATAATCTACAAACTGTCCAATGCCCTCTGAATAACAGGAAGCTGGCGATAACCAGTGCTGGACATAAATGTGTACCTCGATTTGTTACTAGGTCTTAAGCTTTCCTGCAAGCATGATTTCCCTCTTCTTGTCTCGGGTCCTGTCAGGAAGTGGCTGAATTAACACTGAGCTTCAGAATGCAGCGGGCTGGAGCCACCCTTGGATGTGGCTCATCTAACCCCCATGCCTGCCCACAGAGGAACCACTCAGAGTTGATTCAGTGGCACCTGTGTGGGGACCTGGCCTTCAGGGCTTGGATGGATGGATGTGGAACAGAGACCAGGTAGATAAAGAAAAGGCATCAACCTCAGCAACATTTGAAGTGAAACAGGACAATAACTACAAAAACCAGGATGCATCTGAAACACGTTGCGTAGAAAATCACTGGCATACTATAATGTCTCCTAGCCTAGCAAGAGGGAGTTTTTCCAGATTTTAAATTAGAAGAGAGGAGTTTCCATGGGCTTTTCAAAAACTATTTACCACAATCATTCCCTAATATACACAATACACAACTATAACGGCAAAGTTCTTACCCTAAAGCTAATAAGCAAACACAGCAGGTCTCTGGCCTTTTTGTTGTTAACAATAAAAAAAATACATTTATTACATTAAAAATAATAAAGCAACTACTCATTCAGAAGTCTTATTTTAAGTCATTTTGAAGAGTGTATTATAATAGACCGCAGTGACAGGTGGAATTTCCAGACAAGGGGATTTTATTTCAGTCGTCTACTATTGTTTCCCTCGATCTTACTTACCTTTGAAGATTTCCCTTGTGATTTTCTTCTTCCTGTAAAGAAGAAATAAGTTCATCCGAATCAGTTAATATTGGTTGCTAGGCGCTCTCAGGGTGCTATGGGATTTGTTCTGCTTTCCTGCCCTAGGACAACAGCATTGAAAATGCACATGGAGCCAGTGTTGGTTGGGAGCGTTACTGCCCCCAGCCCTTCAAGATACGATAATAAAACCACAATCCACAGTGTGGTGAGGGGCTGGAGCTTCTGCAGTCCAGGGAGGAGCCCACATGAGTAAGCAAAACTGGCCATGATTTTTGTATAAACAGTGTCATGGAGAAAGTGGCCCTCCTGGCTTTCTCAGAGGACTTCCCTGAGCACATGACTTTCCAACCTCGCTTTGTAATGACCCAGGTACGTCTGCATGCGTGCGTTCATGCGTGTGTGTGTGTGTGTGTGTGTGTGTGTGAGAGAGAGAGAGAGAGAGAGAGAGAGAGAAGAGAGAGAGAAGTGGGAGAAGATGAGGATGACAGAATGAGTTAGAAGATGGATGTCCCTAACTGAAGTTGATTTGACATCCTTAGGCGTGAGTACTTCTTTAATTTTAAATTCGCCATTTGGAATCAAAGACAAAGTTACAGTGACGTCTGCTTATGAAGAATGATAGCTGCACTGGCAGAGGACAACACGAACACAGGTGGACTTGGGTGTTTTCGAGCTGACATGGTCCGGAAGAAGGAGCAAGGAGCCTAGCACGCCCTGATGACGGAAGTTTATGTGTCGGCGTGGTCAACAGCCTGGTGCGCTTCCCCCCAGCGAGCACGGTCCGCAGTGCAGGTCAGTAAGGGGTCCAGGCCCCTGCAGGGCTGGCACAAGGCCAGTCTCCTGACCCCGCTGCCTTCTCACTGCTGAGAGTGTGCACCATGTGAGACTGCCAGCAGATCAGACAGGGTGGCATACTGGCGATGTCACATCACCTGGGAATCTGTTGTGGAGGAGGGGGTGTACCTGGCCTCACTGACATGTGACTGAGTATAATTTCCCCACATTTCAACAGCACTATTGACTGAACCCTTCTCAGTCCATTAAGTACCTGGGACAGGTTAAAAAACAGGCAGAGCAACTGTTAAATGGACTCACAGGTAATGATTCCTAAAATCAATTTTTAAAACCCAGCTTTCAAAAGGGCTTAACCGGAAAATGCTAACGCTGTGCCATGGAGATTTCAGCACAGAGCTTAGCTCGGCTACTTGCTCGTCTAGTCTGTGTAAGGTGTCTAGGTGCTGGGTGTCTTCCCTTTGTATAAGGTCTTCAGGGGATGTCATTGTTCAGTGACATTTGCTACTCCCAAATGTCAGGTATTTTCTTTAAAATTTGTTTTCCTGTTAATAAGTTTTCTATGATTTGAAATAAAGTTGCAGATCTACATGCCCCAGAAGCATGACCTATTCCCTCCTGTGTGTCTCATTGAACATGCCCACTTGTGAAACCTTTCCGTGTACACAGGACACGAAACGTGAGACAAAGTGGCAAAATAAAGCCGGCCGCAGCACAAGCTAGGAGTTTGGGGTCAGCGCCACCCAGCAATGCTCTTGGCTGTGAAGGTTTCATGTTTTAAGCCCTGGAGCCTGCCTGCCACGTGGCAGGGCTGCCCACCAACCCCTTGGTCCTGCAGAGGTTAACTGGACCCGAAAACCCAGGCCGACCTGAGGGAGGCAGTTCCTGAACTCCTTCTGGGGCCCGCGGGCCGGAGGCTCCTGTGGCTCATCCTCCAAAGCGTCCAAGTAGAGGTTCTCCCGGGCTGAGCACCTGTCCGATTCCTTCAGCTTGGAGAGCGGCCGGTCTTCAAAAGGGGTCGGGTCCGATTCTGTGCAGGGCCACATCCCCAGAGGTTGGGGCATGCAGGGGCTTCCCGGGGGAGCAAAAGGGCGGATGTTGCCTTCTTTTTGATCACAAAGGAAATTTCCACCTCTCCGGGGACTGTTTTCTTTCTGCAACTTGAAGGTTTAAAAATTAAAACATTAGCCTCACTTTTCTGTCTGTTGCTCTCCTAAGACCATGGTCTCACCACAATTTGGGATTACAGATGAGCCCATCTATAATTCCATAGCTCACATCTCAAAGACCAGGAGAAGAAAATGTTCTTAAAGTTCTGGCCTTGATTTCAAAACGTAACCCACCACCATTACAAATGCTTTTTTTTTAAAAAAAAGATCACTATTTTGTTTGGACTGAAAATCTGCATTAATCACATACAAGCCAACTCCTTCTGACAAGAATCTGTTATTGTACATAACTCTGAGTACTGTGCTCACAGGAAACAATACACTTATTTTTTAAAAATTGAACATTAAATGACATATTTAGAGCTCTTTTTTTAAAAAAAAAAAATTACCTTCAGAAGGTATACTCGGTGGAAAACGATCAGTAAACTTCTGAAGGTGAATTTGGTTTTCCTAACTAGCATTTTCCTAATAATAACAGCATATTATTTCCAAATCATCTGGAACAGGTCTTATACATAATCCGAGAGATCAAACTGTTATAACCACTGGATGGTAAAGCACTTTACACTTTGCTTGAGAGGATTGAAACTTAGCTATAAAGGGAATTAAGCTCTGGTATGACTGAAAACAAACAACACAAGACCGATACGTTTGAGTCACACGTTTTGTGCCTGGCACAGGAAGCTCAAGGAGCAGTTGTGGGAACACACAGGACCACTTGGAGTTGGGAAGACTTACCTGAGTTGGAACCATTGGCTATCAGGTCTAAGGTGCTTACCTCTTCTCACCTCATCTGTAAACAGGGATGGCAAACCTCCCTCCCAGGTATAGGGGGACAACAGGGGAGAGCCCATTGTCAGTGATACCACCCCTGACTTCCCTCAGGCCTGCCCTCGGCGGCTGGGCCCACAATGATCACCTTGCCTATTTACTGTGCAAGAACCAAGTGGAGGATGGCTAGGAAGGGCGCCAGGGTGGAACCACAGGACAGTCAGGGAAATGCATGTAGGGCGGATGCTCTCGCTCCTCTCCTCGAAGCCCCAGGAAAAGCTCTGGTGGGCGGTTTTCCTCTGCTCTACTGGCCTGAGCTTTCTGCACTGAGCTCTCCTCCCTGCCTCCACCAGACACGCACAGAAAGCACAGCTGAGCACGGAGGGTTCCCACCTACACACCCTTAATGGGGTCTTTGTTGAATGAGGAGCTCAGCACACTACAGGTTGGCTGCTTTTTTGAATAATTATCTGAATGACAAAAATGACTTGGGTTTGTCCTGAGGGGGTGGCAGAAGAAGGACGTTGGATCCCTGAGTGCTGGGACAGCGCCAGGAAGTTCTAAAACTCCCCTAGAGTCATATATTCTTTTAAGAAGGCATCTTTCATAAACTATCTTCGTGTCCCAATTTCAGTCTTCATCCACACAACAGCTATACGTGTGGCCTGTGTATCGCCAAGAACAAAGCCATGTGAAATAATGGGGATAAAGGACTTTTACTTATTTTTAGTAATTTTTGAGGTGGTGGAACTAAAGTCTCCAAGTACCATCTTCATTTTGTGAGAAATATGAAGATTCGAGCAGCCAGAGCTTCAGTGTTGGAGTCTGAGGCGGGATCACAGTTGTGTTAGAACAAACACATCACTCTGGGTTTCAGCTCCGCCACCTCCACTCTCCACCCCTCCCTCCACATGGCAGTTTGAAGTATGGTACCTATTTGCTTTATTTAACAATGGACAGGTTATTTTGATTTTCTAAATTGTATAAATCATCCCATTCGATTGAATGACTATCCCATTGATTGTTATCTTACTGGTTATCGAAGCACATTCTTCTGTACCTGGGAAACAGGACAGCACAATTATTCTAAATTGTTTTAGTGGCCACAGATAATGCGTTCCAGTTGACTCAGTGGTCCCAAGACCAGGAAAGTGCAATTACTCTAAATTACCTTGATGGCTCTAGATAATGAGTTCCTGGCAACTCAGTGGTCTCAAGACCCGAGGGCTCTAGATAAGGTGTTTCTGTCAATTCAGTGACCCCGAGACCCAAAACTATAATTAACATGCTTAGTTCTGCTTCTGTAAACTGCTTTTTTGCAAACCAGGTTCCTCATTCCAAACCTTGAGATGTAATCAATACCTTTGTGATCTTTGCCTATATAAGTCTGGTTTTGCCACCATCTTATCACTATGAGATTTGGGGAATGGCCCCTCATAGTCCCGATTGAAATAAATGTGACTCTTTAATTCGACTTCTTGAGGCGTCCTTCTGTGATTCGCGGGGTACATTACAACAAGTTCTTCCCAGTTCTCTTAAAAGATGCTAAGTGCTTTCTTTAATCGAGAAATAAAAAGGAAAGCTTTCTATTATGTTTATCCAATGCATGTCAGCGCAATTTAGTTTCAACACATGATCATCTCCAAGCTATTTTGGGCAAGGAATTAAAATGCGAGAATCACATTTGAAGCTGTAAATGTGCACTGAGGGTGTGTGTGAAGAGGGGGAGGAATGACTACAGAGGAGAGCTATGAACAAGCAGGTTCTAACTCAGGAAAGTGGAATTTCAAAAATAAACCCTGCAGCCAGGAGCAACGAGCACGGAAGCCGGTGTTAGGTTTCCTAAAAATGAAGCTGAGTGGTTTTAGCTGGAGGTATCTGCCGCTGAGATGCCGCTGGGGTGGTGTAATAGAATAATGAGCCCTTAAAAGGATAGGGTTTCCTAGGGGAGTCATTTCAAATCAGGCATCTGCAATTACTGTATTTAGAATCCTGCAGCAGAACAACTTGTAATGCAAATAGAAAGTTTTAAAGATTTGCATTTCAAATAATACAGGAAACAATAAACCCTCAAGAGTGTCACCATAGCTGAATCAGTCAAAAGAAAAAAATGGTCACTTTGTGAACAGGTTTTATTATTATTTTAATATATTTTTATTGCCCTGGTGGGTAAGGTTCAGTGGATAGAGAATCGGCCCTTGGACGAAGGGTCCTGGGTTCAATTACAGTCAAGGGCATACATCTTGGTCGCAGGCTCAATCCCAAGGCCCCAGTCAGGGCGCATGCGGTAAGCAACCAATTGATGTGTGTCTCTGTCTCTCACCTTCCCTTCTACTCTATCAAAAAGAAAGAGAGAGAGAGAGAGAGAGAGAGAGAGAGAGAGAGAGAGAGAGAGAAGGAAGGAAGGAAGGAAGGAAGGAAGGAAGGAAGGAAGGAAGGAAGGAAGGAAGGAAGGAAGGAAGAAAGAAGGAAAGAAAATCAATGGAAAAATTTCCTTGGGTGGGGAGTAACAACAACTACTATATATATATAAATTTCAGGGAGGAAGGGAGAGGGAGCGAGATAGAAACATCACCCTGGCTGGTTTGGCTCAGTGGATAGAGCATTGGCCTGCAGACTGAAGGGTCCCAGGTTTGATTCTGGTCGGGGGCGTATGCCTGGGTGTGGGCTCGATCCCCAGTAGGGGGTGTGCAGAAGGTAGCCAATCAATGATTCTCGCTCATCATTGATGTTTCTCTCTCTCCCCCTCCCTTTTTCTCTGAAATCAATAAAAATGTATTTTAAAAAGTGAAAGAAACATCAATCAGTGATAAGAATCATTGATCAGCTGCCTCTTGCACGCCCCCTACTGGGGATGGAGCCTGCAACCTGGACATGTGTCCTGACCGGGAATCGACCATGAGCTCCTGGTTCATACGTTGACACTCAACCACTAAACCACACCAGTCGGGCATGAACAGGTTTTCAAAGAAAGGTCTTTCATGATGTAGAGGCAACTGATTTAAGGAGGTTACTGGGAGGAGAATGAACTCCCCTTTAGCTCTTTAGAGCTACTATCAGCATGTTAATTGGGAACTTAACAATTCTAAGGAGAAATGCAGTGTGACTCCATAAAAGTTAACTATCACCCAATCAAGTGCGGACTTGAGACAGGATGTGTGACAAGATAGATGATAGGTGTTATATGACCATACCCACACTCCCACAGTCATTCATCATGTAAAATGCCTCGTGTGGCACAATAATTATGTAGGAATTCAATGACACCTGACAAGTATGAAGCATGTGTTCTTAAAGTGGAAAATGGATTTAGTGTTCCTTCTTTTACCATCTGTATTAGGTTATCCTAGTCAAGGTTATATAGTTCACCACGTAGTCAAATATCAAGAGCACACACTATGAGGAATGTTCATTCTTGTTTATCTGTGAAATGTATAGCTAAAAGTTAAATGAGTGAGCAATCCAGTTACTGATAAACAAAATCTATACACACACATTCACACTTCAGCCAATTTCCTCTTACACAGAGAATGCTTTTACCTGATTTTCAGGATTGGGCACCAAGATTTATAAAATCTTCTTTTAAAATCTCTAATATTTGGGGGGAAAGGCCAGATTTATTTTTGAAAGCCACAATTGCGTATCTGAAGCACCATTCACTGGCAACAAACCCTCTTCTAAAAACAGCAGTTAAGTCATTGTACGAAGCCTGTGGGATCCACCACACACAGAGATTTCAGAAACAGATGAATGCCCGGAACCCATTATGCTCAAAGATGTCAGCCTTGAGGACTGATGTTCTGGGGCTGTCGGCTTGGTAGAACTGTTGCAGTGTTGACAATCTAGACATGGGGTTCAGCTCCTATCCCCTTTTCTCTTTCCAAAATATAGTCTAGTAATGAGGAGAATGCTTATCCCTCAGTCATTAACTATTTGAAAGCTGAGTATCATCAAATGTTTTGCCAATTTTTCCTTTACTAAAAATTCCTCATTCCCAAAAGTAAAAAAATAACAAACCCAAAGACTTGCTTAATTTATATCCAAGGTGTCACTTCCAAAATGAAGCCACAGAAGACCAACAGGCCCACGGCTAGCAGGCTAAGGGGACCCCGAAGGGCAGGGGTGGGGATGGCCTTGCTGGGGTACAGGAGGGACAGACACAGTGAGAGATCCTGGAGGGAAGGCCCAGAGGGAACTTCCCTGGTAACAAGGTGCCTAGAGTTACTGGGATACTGGCCAGCTGCAGCTGGATAGAGTGAACCTGTGACCATTCTTATGAACACATGCTGCTTGGCTCCTACAATTTCCACTGAACAACTGATGCACTCGGCAGAGCACAAGCGCACAGGGGATTTAAATCAGAAGATTCTCCTCAAGTGCTGGCATTTCTAGGCCGAACAGGAAGTGGCCAACTTTCCTTTGGTAGAATTTTTAAATGAACCATATCAAATATCAGTAGGGTGACTCAGTTGTGAGTAATCCAGGCTCAGAGAAACTTCAGCTCCTTTTTATCTGCAGCGCACTTCCTTCTCCTCAAGGATTTCTGAGCCAAAGGCTCCAGTTTTTTTCCAGTTCATTCCTCCTTCACTCCCATACAGTATGCAGAAGCTAACCTTTGCTACTGCACCTGCAAAACACAGGTACCATATGTCTGGGGATAATGGAGCACAGTTTTTAAAAAGGACCTCATATAAATGCAGGCAGTATGGGTATTTGTAATAGAATAATGAGGTTATTTTTCCTGAACTCAGTTTCTTATTGATGAATGCATTTCCTTGAGGCCTCATGAATTTGTAAGTATGACAAGCTGAAATGAAATGTATGCTATGTAAAAATCCAGCCAGGGAGGAATTCCAAACCTTCATCATTTTAATGCAAAAAATGCATCACGTAGGCACAACTGCAACTACACAAACTGTCCTGAGTCTGACGCAATGCAGAGAATAATGATCTGGGCAGTAGAAAAACAACTCCCTCTCTCCCTCTCAGAATTCATCTGAGTTTCTGACTCATTTGTTTAGCTGAAGACAATGAGCTACCAGCTACCTCCCCTGACGATGGTCCTACATAATTATAGCTCAGTAATGTCCGCAGCAGGTGCAAACAGCCTGACTTCCAATTACTTCAGCAATTTCTTTACTAATGGACAATATTTCCATTTAAGCTGGAGCAGTCACTGTGACCAGACCTTGAATGGGAAACTTAAAAGTTAATTTGCTTTTTGGCAGAAATCACTTTATAAGACCTGAGAAAAACCTCATGTTCCAGGTTTAGTCTTTAAATTCCTTTAAAAAGTTACTTCCACCCCGGAACACACACACACACACACACACACACACACACACACACGGAAGTTACCTACAAACTTTGCAATGAAGAGATCTGTGTAATGGCTGAACCCAGGTTTCCAATACTAAAAATTCTACTTTTTCTTTTCTTCCTCTCCCTTTGGAAGCCCATGAAACATCCTAATGTACTAAGGACCTCTGAGCAGCCTGATTGCTGTTCCCTCTACAAGCTCGGATTTCCAAGTCACTTAGCTGTCTCCACTCTCTTCCCTGTTCTCTGGTGTCTGGGAGCTTCCTTACCTGTTCTATTTTCCACAAGAGTTCCTTCCTTTGCCGCTCCCACTCCTGCCGATCCCTGTCCAGGCGGTCGAGGAGTTCCACCTTCTCGCGGTTCCAGTTCTTCTCGCTGTGATGGATCTGCCAGCGCAGGTCCATGACCAGGCCGTGGCTGTCAGCGAGGAGCTTCTGGTGCGTCTCCCTCTCCTTCCTGAATGCCCCTTTGCTGTCAGTGGCGGAGCCTGGTTCTCCCAAGCTTTTCTCAGTCTTCTCTTCCAGCTGTCAAGGAGAAGAGAACTACGGAGCTTAGTCCCTGCCAAGTCTCACATTGGTAGGCGAAAAACTCTCAGATCACTAATGTAGTATGCCTGGAAACATGTTTAAACCAAGATTTGACCAATCCCATGGAAGAAACCATTTTCATGTTTAAAGTCCTAATTACAAACATAGAGTCACACAGAATGTCAGTGTTCTCAGCTCTACATCCCTACTGAGTCACCACCATCTCTAGCCTGTCCTTCTATAGAGCTCCTTGGAGACAAGTGCATGTCTGCCCTATATTCTTAGCCTCTATATGAAACCTAGTGATGGAACCTAGGCATCTACAATACATATTTGTCAAACACTCAGGAGGTTAAATACTAAAACTAAACACATGACCAAAAGCACTCCCATCTAGGCATATCATATCCAAACTACTGAAAACTAAAGAGGAAGCTGTGGAGGCAGAGAAAAGAGACACATGCATACACACACACACACACACACACACACACACACACACACACATATACACACACACAGAGGCACACATATATGAATCACAACGGACCTCTCTTCAGAAACTATTTAAGTCAGAGGGCAATGGAGTGACATCTTTAAAGGGGGAAAGTGGTAACATCTTTCAAAAATAAAAGAAAACAAACATTTTTGAATAAATAAAAATTGAAGGAAAAAAACCATTGCTAGTAGACTTCAAGAAATGATAGAGGAGCCCAGACAGTGTGGCTCAGTTGGCTGAGTGTCATCCCATGCATCAGGAGGTCGCTAGTTCGATTCCCAGTCAGGTCACATGCCTGGGTTGCGGGCTCAATCCCCAGTGTGGGGCGTGCAGGAGGCAGCCGATCAATGATTCTCTCTCATCACTGATGTTTCTATCTCCCTCTCTCCTCTCCTTCTTCCTCTTCCTCCCTCTCTGAAATTAATAAAAATATTTCAAAAATCAAAATGCTTTAATTCCACGATGAAAATCAAGGCTATCATTTTAATTCTGTGAACATTCTTTCTCTCACACCTAAGTAGGTGCAGTTCTGCAGATGTGGCAAGCTCCCTTCTTCATGCTATTCCTATTCTATCTGACATCCTTTCTCTCCTTTTCCATGTACTCATTCTACTCATCCTCTGCAATTCATTCTAAGCAGGACTTCCCTAAACCCTTAAGCTGAGGTGTGTGCCCTGCACACCCCCACTTCAGACAGCACTGTGTACAGGCCTAGTGGGGCACTTCTCTGGGTCTCCCAATGCATTGTGAACCCAGTCAAGAAATATCTTATTTGTTGCTGGAACCTTGGCATTTAGAATAAAGTCTGACTTAGGAGTCAATGGAAGGAATCACAGATTTGGGAACTGATACAACATGGCCTTCATTGAGGAAAAAATACTTAAGTTTTGGTAGATTTCACCCATTTTTGCTTTTAAGTAGAAGAGGGTAACCATAGGACTGTTACAAATGAACCAGCATCCACCCACATTCATTGCTTCCTGGGCTGCAAATGTTTAAAAAACATCTTAAACGATTTGGGCAGACGGTGAATCTTGCTTATTACCACCTGCTTTTTAGGTTTGAAGTCCTAGCATTATTTCACTGTGCTTAATGACTCTGCCTGAGGCTTTATTTGTGGTACACACGTGGGTGGATACAAGGTTTCTCTAAAACAAAGATGAAATGTTTTGAAACTGGTTCGCATCAAAGATTATGCCTCCTTTCGTCAGCTACACTCAAAGTCTTTGAAAATATTTAGGTTTTTTTCTCCTATAAACATGTTTTTAAGTAGGCTTAAAGGCAGCTCATCAAAAAGTGTTTTCACTCATTCCTCCTCTGCTGCTGACTGTTCAGGCTGTGTCCTAACATAAACAGAGCATCTAGTAAGAGTCTGCTACCAGGCAGTGGGCAGGATTAGTAACTGGGTCAGCGGCTCCGTCATCTGACCAGCCTGGCCTGGCACTTTGATTTTCCTGTGCTTTGCAGCTTCCTCTGCAGAAAACTTTGTATCTCTGCGTTTCCCAGGGAGCCTGAACCGCTGCTCCCCTTGCCAGGCAATGCAGGTGAAATGTGGGTGCCAAAGGAGCTGTTTCCTTTTTTTAAAAAAAATATGTTTATATTGATGTTCTTGGAGAGAGAGGAAGGAAGAGGGAGGAGAGAGAGAGAGAGAGAGAGAGAGAGAGAGAGAGAGAGAGAGAGAGAGAGAGAGAGAGAGAAACATCAATGTGAGAGAGAAACATGGATTGGCTACCTCCTTCCAGCCCTCCGGCCGGGGATCAAACCCACAACCTGGGTATGTACCCCAACTGGAAGTCGAACCAGTGACCTTTTGGTGTATGAGATGACAACCAACCGAGCCACACCAGGAAGGGCGAGAGCTGTTTTCTTTTGACATGATAGGTCCTGTCATATTTTATTAAGGCCATTTGGAATATATCTCCTTTCTGTGCGTGTGTGTGTGTGTGTGTGTGTGCAATTCATATGAATTTTAATTATTTTATGGTTTGCCTCAAAATAAGGCCTAGAAAATAGATTATCAAAGATGCACAGACCTTTCCCCCTCATCATGATCAAAGGGCTGCAGGGAGTGGCTGTGCTTTTAGGAACTCCAGGGAGAAAATGTTTCTGAAAATGTAGAAAAGAATGTTTCTGGCTAAGTCTGATGTTAATAACCCCGCCACGCCTAAACCCTCCCAGAAGGCTCTGCTCTGTGGGAAGGGTGGATGCAGGAGCCCACTCTCCTCTCCACGTGAGCACGAAAGGCTCTGTGACCCGAGACCAGCCACTGTACTGGGCCCCCATGTCCTCCAGTGTAAATCAGGCCACCAAACTGATTAGACTCACTTCTAGGGCATGAAGTGGAAGGTCTACAGCTCTTTCTAGTATTTGGAGAAAAATCTAAAGGAAAGCACGTGTTTGCCTTTTTCAGAGGTAACTGAACTACGGTCTGCTTTTTCTTAGCTCCTGTCTGAATCATGTCAGCGCATTCTGAGCACCACCTGATGCTGGCGGGCCTCTGATGGGGCTAAACACAACCTTGCCCAGTGTGGAGTGAGAAAGTAAACGCTGCTTTGGAAATGCCGACCGTGATTCATACGTGGGAGAGGGGATATGGGGGAAAGAAGATGCTTGGGATGGTGGGGAACTTTAGGGAGAGACAGCAGGTGGCTGCCCCTGGTCTCCTCGCAGCCCTCTTGCTCTCAGACGAGGGTCACTATGGTCACCGGTGCCTCCTCCCCACCTGTCCCGGGGGAGACGGGGGCAGGTACCTGCTCCAGGCGGCACTTGAGCATGGCCCACTCCACGTCCCAGGCCGCCTTGTCGCTGGCGTACTGCTGCTGCAGCCGCAGCCGGGCGCACTCGTCCTCCCGCAGCTCGGAGCGCAGGTCCTCCAGCAAGGCCTTCAGCGCGCTGAACAGGTGCTGGTTCTCCACCGCCTGCGGGGACACGGGAGTGGGCTGTCACCTCAGGGCAGGGTGTCCTTCCGGTCAGAAGAGGAGAGAAGCCTGGCGAGCAGGGTGGTGCTGGGCTGTTTCCAAGGCGCCGCTGGTAAAGGGCGCAGAGCCAGAGGGTCCCCATGCTGGCCACCGGGCCCCTGGGCTGAGACTGCTAAGGGCTTGTTGGAATAGGAGGGAGGGCAGACCTCAGGCTGGTGCCGGGAACCTGAAGCAGAAGAGAGGAAGGCGCAGGAGGCCACAGGGGGCCCTGGAGGCCGGGCTGCCAAGACGCTCTGTGTGACTTCAGACGTCCAAAGCTCTGGCTGGACGCAGATATAACGAAATACAAACACGCACCCATGTGTGCGGCCATTTTAACTCCAGCTATTGCAACAGAAGGGAATGAATAAAGGCCGTGTGTTTCCTATAAACATAGGGTGGTCACCCCTGACTTGCAGTTCCTCGAAGGTCACAGACATGACAAACATGGCCATGGGAAGGGGGGGGCTTTTAAGTCTGAGCCTGACCCACCCCAACATTTCCAGTGTCGTGCACGATGCTTGTCATGTGAAGTGTGCAAACAGGTCTGATAAATGAAAATGGGTTTTTATTACTCACCTGCTTACACCTGCCTTAAAAGATTTTATATTTTCTAAAACATGTTCCACCCTTTGAGGGCACATTTCAACACTATGACTGCTCTCTTAGTACATTTCATCATGGGCATTTTATCAGAACGGTTTGGCCAAGTGAATTAATTCTGTACCTGGGTAACGATAGCCAAATGAGCCCATCTCTTCAAGCCAGACAGAAAGCACAAACATGCATCGCGCGGTCCCAGGGCAATCTTGTTGGCTGCATTTATGAGACCGGAGGAATAAAAGCTCTCTGAGTCCGGCTGGAGGCAGAATGTCTCTATTATAGAAAGGAGAGCCCCTTCCTCTCAGGTGGACCCCCCTACTTGGTAAACCAAGGTGAGTGCCCCTCAGCTCCCTAGCGTGGGATCTACACACACCGTCTCCCCTCCATCTCGGGGAGAGTCAGCTGTGCTTCTTAAACCATCTAGTTAATGCACTAAGCACACACATGTACATACACAAAGGTGGTCAACCACATAGGGGAAAAATTTAAGATACTTTGGATATGTTTGGATTTAAATAAAGCTGAATTAGTAAAGAGAAATTCTTTAACAGGAACCGATTTGTTACTGAAAACTCCATAGTTGCTCCCTTAATTTATAGGAAGAGTTATAATAGTAGATACAGTAGACTTCTGATCTAGTGGAAAGGCCTATTTGTTAAACATTTTATTTATTGCTCTTTGATTTTTCTCTGCTTGAACACCAATTTTTACTTTAATAGCTCTGAGATGAAAGGCTTATTAAGAGTACAATCCAGTTAACATTTGAAAAGCCCAGCAAATAGAGAAACTTCTTAAAATCCTACAGTCTTTCCAACCTCCTGAAGCTAAATAAAGACCCTGAATAGCCTCAGCAATCTTGAGAAAGATCAAATTTGGAGGTATCACAACTATACTACAAAGCCATAGTTATCAAAACAGCCTGGTACTGGCATAAGAACAGGTATATAGGTCAATGGAACAGCACAGAAAGCCCAGAAGTAAAGTCACACCATCAATAAATCAACAAACAAGTGCTGGTGAGGATGCAGACAAATTAGAATCCCAGTGAACTGCTGGTGGGAACGCAGACTGGTATAGCCACTGTGGAAAACAGTATGGAGTTTCCTCAAAAGATAAAAAATAGAACTGCCGTTTGACCCAGTGATCCCACTTCTTTGAATATATTCTAAGAATCCCAAAACACCAATTTGAAAGAATATATGTACCCCGATGTTCACAGCAGCATTACTTACAATAGCCAAGATCTGGGAACAGCCCAAGTGCCCATTAGATGAGTGGATAAAAACTTGGTGGTACATTTGCACCATGGAATACTATGCAGTTGTAAGAAAAGAAGATTCTCTTAACCTTTAATCAGCATGGATGGACTTGGAGATTATTATGCTAAGTGAAATAAGCCAGTTAGTGGAAGACAAATACCATATGATCTCACTTATATGTAGAATCTAATGAACAAAATAGCCTGAGGAACAAAATAGAAACAGAGGCATGGATACATGGAACAGACTGACAGCTGTCAGAGGGGAGACGAGAAAGGAGGCAGGATGAAAGGTGAAGGGATTAGCCAAAGAACATACATGCATAACCCATAGATACAGACAACAGTGTGGTGATGGCCAGAGAGAAGGGGGGAAGTGGGCAAAGGGGGGATGGGAATGTCTGTATAAACAATAGTATAAACAATAAAAATAAAGTAAACAAATTAGCTCTATATTCAAAGAGATGCTTTTGAAATGGGTGAAATTGTAACAAATGCCGAAGTTTCTTTAAACTCTATACCAAAAGTATTTAAAAATGATACAAGTGTAGGTGAGTGGGAAAAGGTGTTACAACAATCTTTTCAAAAATAAATATCAGTCTAAGTACAGAATTTGCTGAGAAATTATGTATACATTATGGTAGATTTATTTGGTATTTTCATCTTTGGATTTTAAAGTTTACATATATCACTACTTTTTAAGTCAAAGTAATTTGAGCATAAAATAATGGTAATTTTGATACAGCCTTTGGAGTAGTCATCTAATTTTCACTGAAGAAAAGCAGAAAACTACGCGATAAATTCGTCTATGTAATCCATCGCTCCCTATAATCCCCAGGTCGCATCAGGGGTCAGCCTGTGGGGTGCTTAACCTACACCAATCAGCTTACAGCACTAGGGCCAGCCCTTTGTGCTTCTCGCAAGCAAATCAAGCCTAATGTTTCCATGTACATTTGGGTCAGAGGAATCAACATAACCTCCTATTTTATCAGTATAAATTTAATCATCACGACATGAGCGCAAAATTGCTTTGGGGTGAAGGTGGCCAAGACAGCAAGAGAGTTCAGAGAATCATGCTATCGGTACTTGTCACTACAATCACCTGGAGCAGCGTGTGGCATGGCAAGAAGCCACACTAGCTCTCTGCCTTGGGGCACAACAGCAAGAGCTGAGGTCCAAGTAAGAATTTCTGAAGACCCTGGATGAGCCATTGATGGGCACGATCCTTCTAACTTAGTTTTTCACATACAATAACTAATATTGTTTCCAATGGGCCGGGGGCGGGGGGTGGTATGCTAAATCATTCATCCTCATGACCTTGCACTGCACATCAATCGTGGATATGTTCACCAAGTTACAATCACCATGTGCAGAGATTGCCAAGGTCTCGCTGTTAGGAAGTGCAGGGCCCGGACTGCAATCAGGTCTGTCCCCTCCAAGGCTGAACAATCCAAGCAGGATATTTGAATTCTGACATCACACCCTGCCTAGGCTTTCATTATTAGTATTTTTAACTTGGCCGTAGAGAAGCCATCAAATCTCTGTGAAATGAATTCTATCCCCATATCAAGGGAAATAATAATAGCAAGCCACCGTGAAAAAGTACCTCAAAGTTACTTCTCTCACTTTTCCTCTGGTGGTGGCTTTTACTGGGCTATGTTTGGGGGAAAGCAATTACCCAAATCATGTCAAGAATGGAACCAAGATGTTCTGAGAGTATTCCTGATACAGAACTTCTGAACCTTCTGTGCCAGGGGCCTAGCTATGCAGCCTTTCAGCTGTGTGTCTGTTAGATATAGGCCAATGAAAAAGACCAACTTTTTGATCTCTTTAAGATCAGCAGGTTGGTTTTCTCACAAAGAAGGATAAAATGGCTCTATTATTTCCTCTCCCCAGGCTAAGGGCATTTCAGCCCTTGGGAGTTCGTCTCTCTTGGGTGAAGCTTAAATTAATCCCAAAACTGGCATTGGGAGCTTGACTGTGCTATAAAGTGTTAAACTTTCTAACAGGTTCAAGGTTAGGCGTCAGCTAACAGGACTGCTATCCAAGTATACAATAAATATTAATAGAAAGTGAGAAGGAAGTTCATGGAAAAGGTAACATACCAAGCTATTAGTGATGCAATGCCAGCAATTTTATGAAATCATTCTTGCCTAAGATTTCTAAAACCTGTGTATTACAATTCTGTGAAAGGGCTAAATTATTATCAACTGCTTTCATGCCTCAGAGCCATTTACTTTGGAAATGGCTTTAATAAAAAGTTGGAACAGATATATTGACCTGCTGCTATAGGTTAGCCCACAAAAGCCAGTCACGAAATAGAGATGATGGCCTCTACTTCCTATTCATCTAGGCCAGTGGTTCTCAACCTTCCTAATGCCGTGACCCTTTAATACAGTTCCTCATGTTGTGGTGACCCCCAACCATAAAATTATTTTCGTTGCTCCTTCATAACTGTAATTTTGCTACTGTTATGAATCGTAATGTAAATATCTGATATGCAGGATGTATTCTCAATGTTACAAATTGAACATAACTAAAGCATAGTGATTAATCATAAAAACAATATGTAATTATATATGTGTTTTCTGATGGTCTTAGGCAGGGGTCCTCAAACTTTTTAAACAGGGGGCCAGTTCACTGTCCCTCAGACGGTTGGAGGGCTGGACTATAGTTTTAAAAAAACTATGAACAAATTCCTATGCACACTGCACATATCTTATTTTGAAGTAAAAAAACAAAACGGGAACAAATACAATATTTGCATTTGCATGTGGCCCGCGGGCCGTAGTTTGGGGACCCTGGTTAGGCAACCCCTGTGAAAGGGTCGTTTGACCCCCAAAGGGGTTGCGACCCACAGGTTGAGAACCGCTGGTCTAGGCTATTAGACACAGGCTGGGAGTTCTGGGGTGCTCTGGTAGCTGCTCGAACCCCCCACGCACTGCACAGTTCCTACTGATACATATAAAGAGGGGGGGCCTTTGCAGCAGGAGTCCCAAGACAAGTCCTTTTCTGTGAGATTGCCCAGAAAGGATACATTTGCACATCCAGCAACATCTATATATATAAAATCCTAAACAACCGTTATGACCCAACAACC